TTTCATCCTCCCAGGCACAGACAACACGTATGAAAACGAAAATGGAGACTGGATTGTATGCATTATTCCGAGACATTTTTCCCGTAAAAAATATTGTAAGCTGGGCTTGGTGGCTCAGCCTGTAATCCCGTGCCTTGGGAGGCTGAGATGAGTGGATTGCCTGAGCCCGCGGGTTTGAGACCCGCCTGGGCAACTTGGTGAGACCTCATCTCTACAATAAATCAAAAAAATCAGCTGGGCGTGGTAGCACACGCCTGTAGTTCTGGCTACTTGGAAGGCTGAGGCGGAAGGATCACTGGAGCCCAGCAGGTCAAGGCTGCAGTGGCCGGGAGCGGCCACTGCACTCCAGTCTGGGTGACCGAGTGAAACTCCAACTCAAAAAAAAAAAAAAAGCCAAAAAAAATTGTAATAAAGTAAGATTGAGAGGCTTGAACTTAGCCAGGGGTGGTAACGTGCATCTGTAGTCCTAGCTACTTGGGAGGCTGAGGTGGGAGGATTACTTGAGCCCAGGAGGTGGAGGCCACACTGAGCCATGATCATGCCACTGCACTCCAGCCTGGGTGACAGAGTGAGACCCCCCAAAAAAAAAAGCCAGAAGAAGAAGTACCATGACCCCACAGACCATGACCCCACAGACCAGCTCTTCTGCCCTCCTGGAACAGGGCACGCCGCTCCTGGGACCCACTGACCTCCTTAATGGGTCTGGTCGAGCGGCGCCAAGTGTGTCTCGGGTGTCTTTAGAGACTGTTCTCTGTCCCTTCACCCAGCCTTTAAAGGATCCTTCTTTAATAATAATAATAATAATAATAATAACTGGGAAGCTGAGGCAGGAGGATCATTTGAGGCCAGGAGTTTGGCAGGAACTTGGGCACACAGTGAGGCCCCACCTCTAAAAATATATATTTAACTATTAAAAATAGAGATTAGCGAAACTTCAAGGGCGTGAAAATAATTCTCAGAAATGTAGCGTCCAACGCCCCACACCCAGAAAGGACCACTGTGGTATATTTCCTGTCAGGATTTCTCTATGTTTACACACAGGCGCGCTTTTTTAAGGAAAGGGATCATGCCGTCAGTGCTGTTTTGTTCATTAGATTGGGACTGTCTTTTCGGGTCCACGCGCCGTGGTTTCCGTGGCCACACGGCACCCGCGGGGTGGACAGACCGTTGTCTGTCATCCATGGGTCGACACCCAAGTTGTTTGCCTTTTTCTTTAATACCACCAGGAAGCACATCCTTGCGCAAGCCCGAGCGCTTTCCTGACCGTTTCTTTAGGTAACTTCCTGGCTTGGTGGAACAGCCACAGCCAGCAAAGCGCCCTCGTGATGTAAGACACGGGGCGACGCTCAGTAAACAAGCCAGTCAGTACTCTCCTGTTTAAGGCTCTGCTGTTGTGGTCATGCTAAGAAGAAAATCCTCCCACCTGACCACTCCAGGCCACGCCCACTCCAGCCCCTGTCCCCTCCAGCCTCCCCAGGCGCCTTCCTCCTCCTCATCGCTGCATTTCCACCTCGCTGGTCTCTCTGGTCCCTGAATGCATCAAGACCCTGCTCACCCCAGGGCCTTTGCACCTGCTAGTCTTCCAGTCCTGGGCTCTCTGGTTCCCGTGTGTTCCTGGGCCGGATCTAGACACAGATGCCACCTCCCTAGGAAGCGACCTCCTCCCACGAGTCTGAAATTGCCCACCCATCCGACCCCTGCCATTTCTCCCCCAGGTCACACCACCTTCTGGAACTGTCTCTTGCACATCTGTGGCTGGAAGCTCCATGAAGGCGAGAGCTCCTGCAGTCTTGTTACCCCCACATTCCCGACGCCGGGCCCAGTACCTGGCACATAGCAGGTGCTCAGGAAACACCAGTTAAACGAGAGACCAGTTGCTAAAGTCAGCAGCTGGTTCACAGTCAGTTGAGGGATTTTTTTTTTTTTTTTTTTGACTCGGGGTCTTACTCTGTTGCCCGGGCTGGAGTGCAGTGGCATGGTCATGGCTCATGGCAGCCTTGAATTCCTGGGCTCAGGCGATCCTTCTGTGTCAGCCTCCCGAGTAGCTGGGACTACAGGTGAATTTACATCTGGTGAATTTTGTACTTTTTTTGTAGAAATGGGGTCTCACTACATTGCCCAGGCTGGTCTCCCACTCCTGGGCTCGAGAGATCCTCCTGCTTCAGCCTCCGAAGGTGCTGGAGCAACAGGCATGAGCCACTCCACCCGGCCTGGTTGAGGGACATCTAAAGCCCTTTATCAAAAGGGTTTAGTGCCTTTTATGAAAGTTGTCACAAAGTCATAAAGTTTTGCTTTATAAAAACGGTCCAGTCGGGCTCGGTGGCTCAGCCTGTAATCCCGCACCTTTGGGAGGCTGAGGTGAGTGGATGGCCTGAGCCCGCGGGTTCGAGAACCGCCTGGGCAGCGAGACCTCATCTCTACAATAAATCAAAAAATCAGCCGGGCGTGGTAGCGCGCACCTGTAATTCCAGCTACTTGGAAGGCTGAGGTGTAAGAATCACCGGGGCCCAGCAGGTCGAGGCTGCGGTGGCCGGGAGCGGCCATCGTACTCCAGTCTGGGTGACAGAGTGAGACTCCAACTCAAAACAAAAACAAAAAAAACGGTCTAATACCTTTCATGAAAATTGCCCAGACTTGCTGTAGCAATTTAAACCCTCTTTAGACACGTATGGAAGTTATAAACCGATCTAGAAAGAGAATCAGAGGGCAAGATTTAGAAAAAGAAAGGAAGGAAGCTTATTTTATTTTATTTTTAGAGCTGGGATCTGGCTCCATTGCCCAGGCTGGAGTACAGTGACGTGAACATAACTCACTGCAGTCTCAAACTCTTAGGCTCAGGTGATCCTCTAGCTTCAGCCTCCAAAGGAGCTGGGACTACAGGCATGCCACCACACCCAGCTAATTTTTTAATTTTTTTGTAGAGACGGAGTCTTGCTATATTTCTCAGACTGGTCTGAAACTCCTGGCCTCAGATGGTCCTCATGCCTCAGCCTCCTAAAGTGCTGGATTGCAGGTGCAAGCTGTTGGTCAGAAGGTTCTTTTATAAGGATCAGGTCACCCTCATTTTTCATCAAACACGTGCGACTGCCAACTTTCCCGGCCTGACTGGAGCTTCATAATTGTTGGCGACGTGAACAGATGGGGACCTGCCGGAAGGCTTTCTTCACACCCGGGCCTGGGGGGCGTCTTTCCCTGGGGCGGGGACGGGTCGGCCCTTGCTGACGACAGGAGCAGAGCAACACCCTGGCGGCGGTGGTGGCACACTGTTGGATGTGTCAGGAAATCCCTGCCAGGCTCTCGGGCCTCCCAGGGGCAGGCTGTGTAATGCAGGTGTCCGGGAGTCCAGGCAGGGTGTCCAGGCCCCACATCTGAGCAGCAGCCTGCGTGCCGCCTGTGTCCCTCGGTTGTCCGGGGCCCTGAGGACGTGAGAATCCACCGGCCCGTCCGTGCCATTTCCAGCCCCACAGTAAGCCAAAGGGGGCACCACCCATGGCCGTTTCCCCACAGGGGTCTCCCGCCTCACACAGCGCCGGTGCCTCATGGCTCTGGGGGGTTCTCCCAGACTGTTCATGTGGGCAGGGATCCAGAGAGCCCTCGTGGCCCCACTGCCCCAGGGTGGCCCTGAACTTGAGCTTCCCAGAGACCAGCAGGGCCACGGGTCACTCAGCCCCGGGCAGCCTCCCTGGCTTGGCCCGGGGCTTGTCCTCACAGCTCCGTCTGTGCTCCCATGTGGTACACGTGTCCAAAGTTCACTTCCAGGGTAGCCAAAAGCCTGAAGCTGCCACGGACACAGGAGGAAAACAACCAGGAATCCCGGCAGCTGCTCATGGAGGCCTGGCTCTTCCACCGCCGTCCAGAGCACCCGGCGATGTCCAGGGTCGTCTGTCTGGTCCAGGGTCGTCTGTCTGGTCCAGGGTCACCCATCCGGGGCCTCTCTTGCTCGGAGCAGGGGCCCTGAAGGAAACCGTGCCTGTCAATCATGCCCAGGCTGCTAATCTTCCTCTCAAGCTCATTTCTCGTGAGCGAAATACAAATTAAAACTATATCTAGGCCGGGCGCGGTGGCTCATGCCTGTCATCCCAGCACTTTGGGAGGCTGAGGCAAGAGGATTACCTGAGCCCGGGAGTTCGAGACCAGCCTGGGCAACTTGGCGAGACCCCGTTTCTACAAAAAAACTTAAAAAAAAAAACTAGCCAGGCATGGTGGCGTGTGCCTGTGGTTCCAGCTACTAGAGAGGCTGAGGCAGAAGGATCGCCTGAGCCCAGCAGGTCAAGGCTGCGGAGGCCGTGAGTGTGCCACTGCACTCAGCCTGGGTAACAGAGTAAGACCCCGACTAGAAAAAAAGAAAAAGAAAAAAAGAAAGAAAAAGAAAGGCAGGTTTCCATAGTATGTTATATCTCAATAAAGCTGCTTTTTAAAAAAGTCTTCAGCAAGCTGAAGGCTTTAACTCCCTTTGTGGGAGAGTAGTTCCGACAAGTGGTGTGGCCTTGGGTGAGTCACTGGATTTCTTGTTGCCCTCGGTTTCCGCCCCTGTAAAGTCGGGACCAGCTCGCACCTGCCCAGGCGGCAGGGGAAAGGCGTCGAGGGGCACTGGCCCGGCGCCCGTGCGGAAGCTGCCTGGGTCGTGTGCAGGTCTGAGCAGCAACAGCATACTCCTTATCATCATGACACCCCCTATGAATCTGTCAGCCAGACGGTCACCATTCAGGTTGACAGGGGGCAGCGAAAATCGGGCAGACGTCTCGGTGAGTCCAGTTCAGACACACTGGGGCCAGCGAGTCCTCGGGTTAAGGGACGGTACCGCAACAATCCTGACCTAGCATAGGCTGGGGACTCGTTTGCAAAGAAAATAGGATTGGCCTTCTATCCTCAGGGGGCCGGGGGTGTCCCCACCAGAGTCCTCCCACCACAGGGGAGGGAGCGCCCAGCTCTCCTTCCCCACGAGTCCCCTTAGGGGGCCTTCCGGACCCTTGTGACTGACTGTGTCCCTTCTTTTTCAGCCTGGGGACACCTCGGGACGGAAAGGCCTTCCGGATCTTTGCGGTCAGGCAGTGACCCTCCAACACCAGGGACAGGCGTCTTCAGGGGGGCTTCAGAGTTTTGCTTTTTTTTATATTGTCTTGGGGGGAGGGTGTGGGGAGAGTCTGGAAACTTCCTTTGGGCTGTGTTCCGTGCCCGTCCCTTCGCAGCTTTTGGGGGCCATGATGTCTCAGCCTCCCTCCCACAGAGAAGCAACACCCTTGGGGTCTTGGCAGGGTGACCGGTCGCCCCCCTGCTGTGGTCTCCCCTGGGTGCCCTCTCCCTTTGGAGATCTTACCCATCTTTGGAAGGGGACAGTCCCTGAGATGTTCCTTGTCATGTGTTGTTTTGTGGGTAGAGGGAGAGTGTACCCCTCCCACCTCCACAAAGGACCGAGGATTGGCAGCCATGGGCACCCTGGCGTGGGGCAAGGCTTCCATGGAACACCTCGTGAGTTTTGGGAACACGGAAGAAGACGATCAGTATTTGAAAATGCAAAAAGCACAGTCCGTCCCCACCAACAGAGAAAAATGGGCTTCATGTTTGCTGGTCAGACAAACGGGCTGGGACTGGAGGACTGGGGTGCGTGACCCCTGGCACGTGTCCTCGCCGGCGTCCCGCCCAGGCCCCTGCCCGCCCCGGTGTGGGCCGTGTACACTGCAGTGCTGGTTCACTTCGAGCTCAGCAGTGACGACCGAGACCGCTCTCGTTTCCGCCGTGCCTCCGTCCACGTGGCCGTCTGTCTCCTGCCGTGACCGTTGGTCTCGTTGAGGACCAAGGAGTGAGGACCCCTCCTTTCCCCCCGCCGCAGGCCAGCCTTCGTGTCCCGCTCGCACCCAGGCCTTTGCTTTGCCAGCCATCCTGCTCGAAGCCCGCTTTGTCCCCACTCCTGTCTCTCACGCGCCCACGGAGGTGTCAGGGACAGCGGGGGCGGGGCTGCCCGCGGCTTCTTAAAGACGGCCTCCGACCTGCACACGCCCTGTGCCGGTGACCTATTTTCTGCGGGAGGAAGGGAGGCCTGGGTACATTCTTCCCGGTTCGCGGCCTGTCTGTGGTTATGAAACCGTCGGGGGCGTGGTGACAGCCAGAGGGGAGTAGCTGGAAGGGCTTCCTTTCCTGTTTTCCTGGCAGGTCTGCCCAGCGTTCCCCAGGCTCTGGGAGCCCGGCACACACTGGCATCCTGCCCCTTAAAAACGTCCTTCCAAGCCCAGAGCAAATGCCCTCTGTCCCTTTGATGTGTGCTCCCCCTGCCGCCCCCCAGGCCAGCCATAGGGCGCTTCTGGGAATGCTTGTCTCAGATCTGATTCTACCTTCCAGCAAAACATTTCCTATGCAAAAGGACTCTTGGCAAACAAAAACACTGAGATGCCTTGGGCTGGCCAAGAAGCTCTCCCGACCTGGTGATGCCTTTTTCTTTGTGTCCCTTTGTGAGTGCAGAAGCTGAAGGCAAATACCCTTTTTTTTTTAACCCCTTCAAGGAGCTGGTAAAAGGCAATTCAGTCCTAATTTGGCAGCGCTAACAGGAGCAGGATTCCGTTTTGTTTGTGCGTTGTCTGCTGGGGGCGAGTCACAGACACTATTCAGCCCCAGATGCCAGAGCGGAGGAATTTGGTCAGCCGTCTGATGGTGTGTCTGGTGGCCACAGACATGTGGGGAGCTGCTGGGTGCTCGGCAGTGTGCTGCTGGACTCTTGTGGCCATGTCTGTGTTAAGACGGCAAGGAAGCTCAGACCCCCTTGCAGGGCTTTGAGAAGCCGTGAGTCGTCCCGGGGAATTCGGGGGGCTTGCCTCAGAAGCATCCTGCCCAAGGGAGAATCGAAACTTCCAGCAAGTCAACCCCATTATTTTTTTTTAATCTTTGAAAATTGTTTTATAGAGACAGGGTCTCGCTATGTTGCCCAGGCTGGTCTTGACACCTGGCCTCAAACGATCCTCCCACCTCAACCTCCCAAAGTGTTGGGATTATAGGTGTGAGCCACCACACTTGACCCAGACCCCATTATTGAGAAATAAAATTCCCAGGTTCCTTAATGCCGCTCCCACAGGGTCCTCGTGACAGGATGCGCCCGGGGCAGGGTCTGGCTGTCTTTTCCATACTCACGAACATTTTGAAACCAGAACCAATTCTCTTTAGAAAATGGAAACAAAGCTACGAGCCCTTGTCATCAGGGACCAACTGTGGTGTGTGTTCCACAGGGCCCTTAGCATGTGTTTAGAGAGCGGACACCCCGAGTCAGCACACCCCCACGTCCTCCGCCCCGGGATGAGGGGCTCCGGCCTCCTGAACGGGTCTCGCCTGGCGCGCCAACATTAAATGTTCATTTCACGCCGTCTGTCGGCTCACTCAGCCCGCAGTTCACGTGTGTGCTTTTTTCTATGAAAAATGATGTATTTTGCTACTTCCTGTGTACAAATGTTGATTGTAAATGTTTTTTGTGCTTTGCGTGCACCGGGGCCACGTGGAGGCTATGGCCTCCACAAAACTGGTTGGGTTTCTACAATGTTTCTGTAACGTGTCTTCTCATGGACGAGCCCGAACAGTTTGTGAAATAAAACGTGTCAAGCCGTCTCACAGGCTCTCGGCTATTTTGTGCACATCCCTTCCACCGCAGCATGGGGCACGCACAGGGATGCTCATCACTGCCTTGTCGTCTGCAGCGTTGCAGGGACTTTCACCCCACCAGTGGGAAGAGATGGCGATTAAAGTTCAAGGCCGGGCACGGCGGCTCTCGCCTGTCATTCCAGCACTTTGGGAGGCCGAGGTGGGAGGCTCACTCAAGCCCAGAAGTTCAAGACCAACCTAGTGAGATCTCATCTCTACAAAAATATTTAAAAAGTCATCTGGGTGTGGTGACACACGCCTGGAGTCCCAGCTACTTGGGAGGCTGAGGAGGGAGAATCGCCTGAACCCAGGAGGTCAAGGCTGTGAGGACCCGTGATTGTGCCACCGCACTCCCGCCTGGGTGACAGAGTGAGACCCCAACTCAAAAAAAATTGTATATGTTGAAGGCTTTTTAAATGTCGATTTAAAAATATTAAGGAAGCGGGCCGGGCATGGTGGCTCAAGCCTGTAATCCTGGCATTTGGGGAGGCCGAGGCAAGAGGATTGCCTGAGCCCAGGGGATTGAGACCAGCCTGGGCAGCTTGGTGAGACCTCATCTCTACAATATATCAAAAAATTAACTGGGCGTGGCAGCGCTCGCCTGTAGTTCCGGCTACTTGGAAGGCTGAGGCGGAAGGATCGCCTGAGCCCAGCAGATCGACATGGGGGTGGCCATGAGCTTGCCACTGCACTCCAGCCTGGGCGACAGAGGGCGACTTTGACTCAAAAGAAGAAGAAGAAGAATTAAGGAAGCTAAGGTCGTGCAGGTCAATTGCAGCCGTCACCAAGACTGGAGGCTGAAGACTCACAGTGTTTGGGAAACTCACAGACACTGCCCTCATCGGTGGCTCCTGGGGCCTGGGGGCTCCCCTTTCCTCCCTCGGAATCTGCCACCTCCCATGCCCCTTCCTCCTGCCTCGGGAAATGCTTCCTACATCTCAGGACCCACGGTCCAGCGCACCCCCACCTCCTCCACTCAGACGTTAGGTGGGGGCAAGGAGAAGGGAGCTGGTGTTTCCCCACTGCAGAATTCCTTTGCAGAGGTTCCCAGGAGTCGCCTGACTCCGCTGACGGCTGTGCACCTTGGACCCCAGCCATGCTGCGTGGGGGCCCTGGAGCAGAGGGCACTGCCATGCAAGGTGACGTGGGGGCCTGGGAGTTCCCAGACCGCCTCTGCCTCTCACCAGCTGCGAGACCTCGGCCTAGACACACAGCCTCTGAGCCTCAGACTGCCCATGTGTGAGGTGGGAATTGGCCACAGAGTGAGGCAGGGAGACACGTTGTCTGTAGAAAACACTAACGGGGGTGCGCAGAGATGAGGACTGGGTCTCCCGTGGGGGATCCTCTCTCCAGTGCACCCTGGAGCCTCCAGGGTGGGGGCTTTGGCTGTAGACCGTGGAAACTGCATCAAAGGGTCTGAGTGGTCCCCAGCCTGCAGCATGTGCACCCCCAGGGAGTGGCGAGGAATGCAGATGCTCTGACTCCTCCCTCCAGACCCACCTGGGGTGGGCGGGGCCCTGGGGAGTTTTCGGCGTGTGCTCTGGTTTGAGAACCACCGTTCTAAAGACATGCAAGTGAGGAGAAGTCAGGTGAGACTTGGGGACAGAAGCCAGCGATGCCAGGACCCCCTGACATCAGTGCTCCACCGGCCTCCTCCTCTCCTTGGTCACAGGATGGCCCCACACCAAAAGCCATCCCAGCCAAGTGAGGCTGAGACAGGAAGAGACCTCTTCCCGTGGCGTTCTCTCGTCAGGGGAACCTTTCCCAGAGCTTTCCAGCAGGCCTGTGTCCATGTCCCTCTTGTCAATATGGGCCACGGGCACTCCCAGGGTCTGTCGCACGTAGGGGGTGAAGAAACAGAGATGTTGAGGTGGGGAAAAGACCCAACAGGGACCCAAGACCCATCGTCAAACATAAACTCGCTCTCACAGAAGGCAGCACGTGGTCAGGAGCCAGGGTTCAGGCACGAGCTGGGATCCAGTCCTGCTGTTCACCAGCTGAGTGGCATGGGACTTCCCTGAGCATCCTCTGTAAAAGGGCAATAATAAAGTGCTGAGCACGTGGTGTGCACATGACAGTGGCCACACATGGGCACCGCCCTTGTTTTGCAATAAAAATCGGATGCCCTTAGATGCATGCCAGAGGCAATTCTACCAAATGCAATATATAGCAACAGACGTTCTCATGGGCGGAACTGTCCAAAAATGAAATGGCCCATGTGGAGAGAGCGTTCCCTGTCCCAGGAAAAATACAAGCCGAAGCTGGAAGGATCTTGGGCTAGGTCAACTTTAAGGCTCCTTCCTGGGCCAGATATAGTGGCTCATGCTTATAATCCTAGCAGGTTGGTTCCTTCCCTGATTCTGATGACCAGCATCAACTCCCCACTGCCTCCTCCGCCCCTCCAAGAGCACCCTGGGGACCCAGGGAAGGGGTGACACGCAGCTCTGGGACCCTGGATCCTCCAACATGGCAACTTGGTTCTATAAAAGAGAAAAGGGTGTGGCCTCT